CAGTTGGCAGGGCAGTGGAGGGTGGTTTACCTCCAGAGTGCTCCCTCTTCAGTGAACTGACGGTGCCCCCAGGAGCTCTTACATGAACTGGCAGTTTCCAAAAAGCTGGTATACGGTGACCTGGCTTTCAAACTGTCCTCAGAGGTGAGCCTGGAACCACTGCAGATGAGAGAGAGGCAAATGGGAGGTCTCCAGGCCTGCTGTCCTGTTCCCAGATCTGCACTTTTATGTGTTCTGTGTCTTAGGTTTTTTTGTTAATGTTGAAAAATTATTTTGAGAGAGACATGCCATGCCTTTTACAGAACATAAACATTGCTGAAATATTCCAGTATTTTAACACAAACCCTTTTGAGTAGCATCTAAACCTTTTTTAAATTTTAAAATTCTTTGAGATCATTGTATAACCATTAGCTACCACAATCACTGTGACTGAAGGAGAATCAGTGGTCCAAGTGGAACCTGTCTTCCTGAGGTTTAAAAATAACTACCTGACTTACTTCACTCTGTAAAATAGGATCTGGGTTCATTGTAAAGCAATTATCCTCCAGGGAAGAGGACGGGAAAACTACCTGATACAAACTTGTATTCTATTTGGATTTCTAATTGATTTTCCAGGACCACTGGGGGTTTGTTGACATTCTTTCAAGACTTGATTTCTGTAAACTGCTGTTTCTAACAGCCCAGGTTACTGCTTCATTGTACACATTTTGCCTGGCAACACTGGGAATAAGTGAATTTTGTAAAAGAGCTCACTGAGCCAAAATGGAAGTTGGAAACCACCCCAAAACTTTTAAAATGAAAAATCCTCAAGAGAAAAACATATCAGACCCAACCACTACTAAGGCAGGGCCTAAGACAAACACAAATCACAGACTTCCTTTTTCTTCTGCCACAAATGTCAGAAACGCTTGGCATCTGAGTGTGTTGCATTTTTTTTTCCTCCTTTCTGAACGGCTCAACTTGGAAAGGTCAGCCTATCCCTTTGGGAAAAATCTTTTCTTGTAAATTGGAATGTTTGCACACAAAACTGTAGGAAATGTTTAACATTTGCTTTGATGGGGCAGCAGTTTGTTCAATAGAATAGAATTGTTCTCCTTTTTCCATTTTCCTGTCTGTTTGTACATCACAGGCACCCAAATTATGGAAAGCAACTTGGAGGTGCTTTTTTTCTATGGGGTCAGATGATCCTGTCCACAAAACCAGCCAACGCCTTGGACTTCCGAAATGCAGGCTGTGTTCCATCTTTTATTTACTCCGAGGGACTCATTTGTAAGACACTTTGTTCTGAATAAAAGCAGTAATTTTCCACAGACTATACATAGTGAAACCCTGGAAAAGGAGGAGGAAGAGACAGTGGAGGAAGGAAGTGGGGAGAAAAAAAAATGGAATAACCCAAATAATCGCTCCAAGTTCTCCTGTTTTACCTTTGCACAAATTTGTTTCCATGTGTATAACACATGTTGTACAGTGTCCAGTGTTTCAATGAATTAACTTTCTGTGAGTCTTCTGGTTTACATTTTAAAAAGATACAGGTCATTAAGACAACAAAACAAGTTGCTGTTTGTGATCAGCTGCCTCCAATGTGATAATCAACATAAACATTTGTAGTTCATAGAGAATTCTCCTTCACCAGAACCCATCTTTCCATCCATCTTGAACTGATGAAGGAGAACAGTGCTGAGTTTATGTGGTTCTATTCGTTTCTGTAGCAACACATAGATACCAAAAGCACTCTTGTAATTTTTTTAAAAAATGCTTAACTTGGCAATGACAAAAAATAAACAACAGAGGGAGGGATTGTAAGGAAGATGACTGTATCTAGGTGTTGGTCTGGGCTGGACTGCAGGAAGGGACCTGAGTCAGCATGGTTCATTATTTTGGGAGGCTTCCGATTATTCACTTCCAGAAACAGCTTCCCTTTCATTTCTGCCAAGTCCCTCTGCTACTGAGCGTGTGCTGTGTGAGAGCCCACGTGTGTCCCTGAGGTGTGTGTGTCCCACAGAAGAAATGGACTGACTATCCAAGACAGCCCACTTCTCTCCATGGCTCCATCCTGTCCCTTCTCACTTCCCAAGGACTTCCCTCCTTCAATTAATTCTTTCTCTCCTAGGTCATCAGTTTCTTTCTTCATTGGCTCAATCACAAAAGTGTACAAACATTATTTCTTCTCTGTATTGGAAAAAATAAAACAAATCCTTGTAACTCATATCCCCTTATAATTACTACCCACAGCCCTCCTCTTCTTCAGTAAAACTTCAAAATAAGTCAGCTGCACACACTGATTCTTCCTCTCTTCCATTCATTTTCCAACCCACTCCCATCCGGCTTCAATTCCCATTTTTGCAAAGAAAATGATCTCCACAGTCACTAAGTCACTTAGTTGTCAAAGCCAGTGGACATCTATCTGTTCTCATGCTACTCAGCTTCCAATAGGACTTCAACACAGTTGACCATTCTCTGCTCTTGGTTTTCAGGATCCTGCCTTCACTAAGTTTTCCTCCTGCCTTTGGGCTGCCTCTCTCCAGATGTTTTGCTGGTTCTTCATCCTCTACCTCTATCTAGATGTGGAAGCACCACAGGGCTCAGTTCCCAGCCTTCTTCTCCTCTTTACACTCTCCCTGGATGATTTCATCCATCCCACGGTTTTACATAGTGTGTGAACGCTGAAGAACCCTGGTCCTGATGACTCCTGTGATTTTCACATTCATACATGCAATTGCTCTCTTGACATTTCCACACAGATATTTAATAGACATCTCAAATTTATTGTTCTAAACTCATTTCTCTTGAACTTTTCCATCTTCAGTAAATGACACCACTTTTGAGCCAGATGTTCAAGTCAAACACCTGTGAGACATCCTTAATTTCTCTTCCTTAAACCCTACCTCATCTCCTCCCCATATTCCACCTATCAGCAAATCACATCAGTTTTATTTTCAAGATATATCTTTAATCATTCAACTTAATCTCTATATCCACTTCTACCTCCAAATTGTCATCATCACTCACACGGACTATCACAACGGTCTTCCTGCTGCCACTCCTGCTCCTGTACATCCTGCACAGAGCAGATGCAGAGTTTATAAAAAAAAAAGAATGAGAAAAACCAGATTATATCATTGCCCTCTATAAAGTCTGTTAATATTTCTCACTGCTCTGGGAATAAATTCAAACCAACCCTCCCACAGTTTGCATGGCCCCGTATGAACTAGCTTGTCTTCCAATTCTCAACCACCTCTTTCCCCCTCACTCTGCTTTAGACACATTGGCCTCCTTGATTTCCCTCTAACATATCAAGCCCTTTTCTGCCTCAGGAACTTTGCCTCTGTTCTTTCTGCAACATTACCTCCCATATCTTCACTGATTGGCTCTCTTTCATCCATTAATACTAACATTGTTGGTATTTCTTCAGATATGTGTTCCTTGCCTTTACCCCCAAACCTCTTGGTCAAAACATCTTATTTTCTTGGAAGCGCTTGCCATTATTCAGTTACCTTGTTCATCCGATGGCATGTTCTGTGTCTTTCACAGATAGAATGTAAGCTCCCTGAGGGCAGAATCCTTGTCTGTCCCCTTCACTATTGATAATAGACCTAGCAAGGTGTCTAGGATGAGAGCACCCAATAAGTATTTGTTTGATGAATTCATTCAACAGCTCTGATTAGAACTCCCTACTATGTGCCACCTACTGTTCTAAGTTCTTGACATTTATCTGTGAATAAAACAGAACAGATCCCTAATATCTTAGTGGGGGCGATGGGCACTAAGACATAGTCAGCAAAAATATAGTATGTCTGACGGCATGGCAACCCACTCCAGTATTCTTGCCAGGAGAATCCCATGGACAGAGGAGCCTGGTGGGCTACATGTGACCATGGGGTCGCAAAGAGTCGGACATGACTGAAGCGACTTAGCCCACAAAGCTGATTAAGTGCCATGGAAGAATTGTTTCTGAGTGAAAACTTAGGATATTCTCCAGTCTCTTCCCTTCGTGTGCAAAGTGGAAAAGGCATGTGCTTTGCACACTTGAAACCTTGGCTTCTAGAGATCAATGATGACATTCTGAGCAATTTACCTCTTTTAAGGCTCAGCTCCCTTAACTGTAAAATAGAATAATACCCACCTCTCAAGGCTGGTGTAAAGAACAAATGAAATAATACAGATTTGACACTATCTCATCCCTTCCAGCCACCCACCCTTACCCTATTACTCAAGGGCAGGAGCCAAATGGTGCGGTATCTCCTCCATCTCTGAACCCCTAGCATGCTTTCAAACAACATCAACCCAAATTCCTGAAAACACTCAGTATACCTGAGTAAGTACAGGGTTGGCCAAAAGTTCGATTAGTTTCTTCTGTTATATCTTATGAAAAAACATGAACAACTTTGTGGCCAACCCAACATGGGGGCAAACAAGTGTCCGGATAACTTCAGAGCAGACAATCAAAGCTACTTTTACTCAGAAATAATGCTTTGTAAACATTTTTTAATTGTAGTTTTCATTTGTTTCTACTTTTGGCTGTGCTGGGTCTTCATTGTTCACACACTTTTCTCTGGTTGTGGCAAGCAGGGGCTACTCTACAGTTGCGCTGCAGTACTTGGGCTTCGCCTTGCAGGGGCTTCTCTTGTTGCAGAGCACGGGATTCTAGGGCTCTCGAGCTTCGGTAGTTATGGGGCTTCAGCTCAGTAGTTGCAGTTTCCAGGCTCTAGAGCACAGGCTCAACAGTTGTACATGGACTTAGCTGCTCCACGGAATGTGGGATCTTCCCAGATCAGGGATCGATCCCATGTCTCAGATTCTTTACTACTGAGCCACCAGGGAAGCCCAGAAAAGAATGCTTTTTAAAAGATAGAGTGGGCAGTCCTCACCTTTTTTGAACAATTATTTCCCCCTCTTTATCATTTAATTCCACTTTTACAGCTCCAACTATTAAAGATGGAAGGGTGTGCCATCCATATAGTCTTTCTTGTCACATGCAGAAGTAAAATCACAGAGAGTTATTTTATAGGAGGATAGAACATTTATTTCAATGGAAACACTAATCTTTATTTTATCATGCTGAAGTGTGTGGTTACAAACGATTTTCAACAAAACACTATATAGAATAAGCGAAAAATAAGTTAATACAATGTAAACCTTACATACAGTTTCATCAATTACCAGGTTTAGGAACACACAAGCCATTTCAGACTCTGGAGCTACATTTAGTTAAAAATAAACAACTGCAAACACTCAAACCTTATCAACCCCAAGTAAGACACTAAAGAGCTATTCAAGACTTCTTCGAACCCATTACACAAATACATTTTTATTTTTGGTTACAGTCCCCTGCTATGCACAAGACCATTGGAATGCTGTTAACAATTACACATTTTTGAAGAACGGCACAAAGCGAAGCAAGGAGATAGCATGCCAGCCTTCCAGAAGCTGTCTTGAAAGTGCAAACTCTGCATTTTCTCTTCCTGAACCACTAGGATAATAAGCACGGGCACCTCGGACGACAAGGGCAGGGTCACGAACATGCTTTCTCTATCACACCGGTGGGACATTGACTCGAACCAGGCCTCCAGGCCTTTGAAGATACCTCCGGTTTTCAACAGGGAACAGGCTTTCAACTAAATATAGTGCAAATCAAATACCGAGGAGCAAAGAACGACAGAACCAGGCCAGCCACCGGTCGACCCCGCGGCTTTTCCACCGGACACCGCTCGGCACCGGGCGGGGGCAGGCGGGCCCACCCCCCCGAAGCCACATCTCTCTTTAGGTTTTGATGTGCTCGGTGGTGCGGCGGAGCGAGTGGAGGGCCACCACGCAGCAGCCCCGCAGCAGGGCCCCGATGTTGTACAGGGGATCCGTGCCCCCCCTCTGAGTACTGAACGCCCACAGCACGGTGGGGACCACGGGGGCCCCCACGGCCAACAGATCCACCAGGAAGCTGCGGCTCCAGTAGCGCCCGGCGATGCCCCCCGCGCGGGCCAGTGGGCCCGGGCTGTCTGGCCTCACCTCCTCCGCCGCCGCTGCTTCCGAGCCCGCAAAATCCAGCTCTCTCATGAGGCGGTTCCCACGCGCCTCGGGACCGGCCGCGGGGGACGGGGTCTCCACAGGAGACAAAAGGATGGCCGAGTTGGGATTCCGGGGAGTTAAATCGACCACGAAGGCGGAGATGGGCTCCGGGAAGCTATCGGTCGAGTCGTCCCCGGACTCCTCGTCGGGGGTCGCGGCGCTGGAGGAGGGACAGGGGTCCTGCAGCCGGAGTACGTGCCGGAGGAGCTCGGAGAAGGCCGGGCTGTAGGGCACCACGTCGGTCTGCACCGCCCGCTCCGCCACCGCGCGGCGCCCTCCGCGGCCCACCGCCGCTGCCTCGCCGCCCAGCGCCACGACCTCGGCGCCGGGCAGCTCCGGCTCCGGGATGGCGCCTGTCACCAGCTCCTCCAACACATCCTCGACGGGGGCCGCGCCGTCTGCCCCCAGCAGCTCGCTGTCGGCCCCTTCCTCCGTGGCCGGCTCCTCCGAAGACAGAGCATCCTCCGTCGGCCCCAAGGCCGCGCCAAGGACCAAGCCCTTCTCCGGGGACTCACAGGGGAAGTCGAGGCACAGCTCGTCCCTCAGCGAGCCGCTGTGCGCCATCTCCATGCTCTGGAGGAGCGACTCCAGCTTCTTGTTCTGAATGTTGATGTCCACAAAATATTTCTGAATGCCTTTGTCTTTATCGGCCAGGCTGCTCCGCATCGTTTCGATGACCTGTTTGAGCTGCTTGATCTCCTTCCGGGCCTCCTTGAGGGCCAGCTGGGCCTCCACCCGGTGGCACTCTTCCTCGATCCAGTCCTCGCGCATTCGGGCCAGCTGGGACTTCAGCTCCACGATCTCACTCTCCCTAGAGCCGGAAGACAAGCGAGGCTCAGAAAAAAAAAATTAATAAAAAAGGCCAACTCTGACACCCCACCTGGAGCCCATGCTTTCCCACCGGAAACATACAGGCTACGTAGGTTTCGATTTTTTTTCTTTCTTTTGAAGGTATTAGCCCACAACTGCCCCCCTTTAATTGTAAAATAGCTAAAATAATAACAGTAACTAGAATCAGAATAAACATTTTGCTGTGATTGTTTTTCTCTCCTTTTTCAAGCATCCTGCTTAGTTATTCAGTCGTGTCTGACTCTTTGTGACTCCATAGACTGTAGTCCACCAGGCTCCTCTGTCCATGGGGATTCTCCAGGCAAGAATACTGGAGTGGGTTGCCATGCCCTCCTCCAGGAAGACTTCCCAACCCAGGGATTGAACCCAGGTCTCCCGCATTGCAGGCATATTCTTTATGGTCTGAGCCAGCTTTCAAGCATTATCTTCTGTTTAATACAGACAGACTAGTTTTATTGCACTTTGCCTTATCATGCTTTGTAGATACTATGTCTTTTACAAATTGAAGGTTTGTGGCAACCCTGCTTTGTCAGACACTGGTTAGCATTTTTTAGCAATTAGGATATTTTTAAATTAAGGTTTGTACATTTTTTTTAGGTATAATGCTATTGCACACTTAATAGACTCTAGTGTAGTAAAACAACTTTTATATGTGTTAAGAAGTGAAAAATTTCATATAACTCACTTTATAGCAATTTGCTTTATTGCAGTGGTCTGGAACCAAACCTGCAATATCTCTGAGGCAGTCCTGTACTTAATATTGGAAATTATTTTATTAGAACACATTGGAGTCTCTTAGCCTGCTTTAATCTCCATAGCCTATTCTTTTGTATGTCCACAAAATAATTTGTGGAAGGAAAGTCCATATCACTTTTAATTATGTGTCAAAGGCAGAAGCCAGACTGATAAGCTTTAGCATTGCAAAACAGTTCTGATCATATTCCAATGATGACTTAAATTTTTTTTAAATCATAAAAAGTTACATGTTGCAAGGACTTTATGAAATGTTGATAATTCTTTCTCTTCTCAGGCAAGATGACATTAGATTCATCCTACACTGAAGGGAATGCCTAGTTTCTTCACAGGACAGTATTTCTAAATATTTGTCAAAAAAATTTTTTCCTTACATACAGTTTCTTCCTAGTCAATATAAATGTATGTCCTCATTCTCTCAGTGAATATGACAAGATCACATAGTCAGGATACTGAAATACTTGAAGAGCTGTTGTATGTATTGCTTCTTTAAGTTTAGGTTTGACTATTCTCTAGTTTCACTGCCTTTCCACACCTCCCTCTCAGAGATTCAAAGAGTCCCAAAGATTCCTCAAAACATAAACCAAGACTTCCAGAAAGTAGGACCTGACTCATGTCATGGTCAACCCTGGTCAGAGCTCTCAGAAAAACCAACAAGAAAACCATCACAGGCAGAAAATCTGGCCTGTCCCAAGACGTCAAAGGTCTTTTCCCTGTGAGATAAGATCTCTTAAGCTTGGGCTGTTGTTTTTCTTTTTTTAAATTACCGTTAACACTTGGCCAAGAATAATGAACCTTTTCCTTCAGCACAGAAATAGCTTGCAGGAATCACAATACACAGGGCCATCTACTCTGACACAGATAAACAGGGCTTCATAGGGGCCAACTGTGTGTGACCCACTCTACTGGGAGTAGGCATTGTTCCCGCAAGTGTTCTGTCCTTTAAAAATAGCTCCGCACACACCCAGCTCTTCACGTCAAAGCTAGGCACACCCAGAAAAAGCGGAGGGTCCCTTCCAACCCAGGAGGGTTCCCTGAACTCCTGAAAGAGTCAAATCACTCAGGATTATCAAATGACTCTTCTGAGAGACTGATTTAAGAAATACGACAAAAATTAAATGAAGGCATTTTTCTTCTTTTCTATAGCGTGGGTTCACAGTTCACTTTATGGAAAAAGAAAGCGTTCTAAACCACAGCGTGCAAGGAATGCGCATTCACCTCTCATGCAGCCGGCGCTCAGACTCCTTGAGCTTGGTCTTCAGGTGTCGCACCGTAACCTCTTTCTGCTGCAGAGGGGTCAAGTACTGCTCTGGATTTGGGGGTTTGACGCCATGGTTTTCACCACAGGACATGTACCTTCCGGATCGCCTGAAACAATCCAAGTAAATGAAATATTACTTTTTCTATAAAGAAAAGTCAAGGCACAGCTTAAACAGCTTGAGAAGAAACGGCAGCTGTGTGCTGGGATCTTAAAGCCAAACAGTGAGTGGCCTCACTTTGATCCCTAGGTTGGGAAGATCCCCTGGAGAAGGGATAGGCTACCCATTCCAGTCTTCTTGGGCTTCCCTGCTGGTTCAGACAGTAAAGAATCCGCCTGCAATGCGGGAGAGAACTGGGTTCAATCCCTGGGTTGGGAAGATCCCCTGGAGAAGGGAACAGCTACCCACTCCAGTATTCTTGCCTGGAAAATTCCGTAGACAGAGGAGCCTGGCAGGCTACACAGTCCATGGGGTCGCAGAGTCAGACATGACTGAGAGACTTTCACTTCTCTTCCCTTCACTTCAGAAGGGGGACAGTCATCCACCTGCCACTCTTAGGACTGCGCATAACTGGGAAGATTGGGGGCGGGGCTTTGTCAAAGGGGTGGGGCCAGGAGTGGGAGATTTTCTGTGGCTTAGGGACGATCTCCTGTAAAATAAAGCACAATTGTCCAGAGACCCGAAAGTCAGTTCAGAGTAAGAGGCTGTTATGTTAAAGGACAATGAGTGGGGGCAGGAAGGGAGCGAGATGACCTTGGTTCCACACAATGTGCCACTTGCCTAAAGATCTTGATTGTTGTTGGTTGAATTCAGATTGTTCTGATATCAGTCCCTGATGTGAGTGTGCTGATGTGGTGGAAGGTTTCCTTCTTTTGAAGGGAAAAGGGCTGGTCTACTCGCACCAGATAGGGTTTGTAAGAGAGGCGTCCAGTGCTCTGTGAAGCTTCCTTCACTGGAATCTGGCCCCTGTCAGGCCTGGCCGAGAGCGGGGCATCCCTCCTGCTCTAAGAGAGCTGACTATGAGACCTGGACGCCCTGGAGGAGGAAGACGGAAGAAGGAGGGCTGGCAGCTTCTTCCCCAATTCAGGACCCGCGCCAAGCCCCCGCATTCGCCCTGCTGGCCCTGAGCCTGCGCTCCATCCAAGATGGCCCGTGCCCAGCATCCAGTTCCCAACTGGCCTGCTAGGGCCCATCTGGATGCGCAGTTCCTTTTTTCTGCAACCTCGTGCTTTCCAGGGACTAATTCATTCCTTGCTTGACCTTCAGATCTCATTTCAATTTTGCTTTTTCAGAGAGGCCTCCTTTGACCCTGCCAAATGGATCCCGTGTCCACCTTTTTTTAAGACTTTTTTTTTTATGCAGACCATTTTAAAAGTCACTATTGAATTCATTACAGTATTGCTTCTGTTTTTATGTTTTGGCTGCAAGGCATGTGGGATCCTAGCCCTGACCAGGGACTGACCCCGCACTCCCCTGCACTGGAAGGCAAAGTCTTTAACCATTAGACCACCAGGGAATTCCCAGTTCCCAGCTTTTACATAGAATGACAGGTATTTGCAGAATAATCCTAATGCATTTCTGTCAGGAGATGGCTACTGTTTTTCTTCTCCTCTGGGCATCAGCACAGGGACCTCTGTTGTTTATGGCTCTGTTCCCAGTACTTCACACAGCACTGGACACAGCGTGGTCCTCAATAAACATCTGGTGTTTGAATGAACCAGCAAACACACGAATGACCCTTCCCCATTTGGAGGGAAATGCGTAGGACTGTCCTACTGCTGCTGGGCCATTTCTCCTGCCTAGCTAGTAATTCCTGGGACTGCTGAACCTCATTAGAAACTGTGGCTCTTGTCCTTCCTGCAGCAGCCCTTGAAGGATTGTTACTGAGTGCGGGAAAGGAAAGAGATATGTCATATTGCAGAACAAGGCAGGGGGTTGAGAGCTGGATGCATGCACGCTCAGTCTCTCAGTTGTGTCTGGCTCTTTGCGACCCCATGGACTGTAGCCCACCAGGCTCCTCTGTCCTGGTGGATTCGCCAGGCAAGAGTACTGGAGTGGGTTGCCATGCCCTCCTCCCGGGGATCTTCCCGACTCAGGAATCGAACCTGACTCTCCTACTTGGCAGGCAGAATTATTTACCACTGAGCCACCAGGGAAGCCATCGCGAGTTTTATATATATATGTTTTTTTTTTTCTTAAAGAGAAGCTTACAAGTAGGACGAACTAAGAACCATGGGTCTGGAGACAGACGGCACTCACCTCATGACAGGACTACAGTCACTTCCTTTGTAGGAGCCGGAGTTGCTGCTGCTGGGGGAAGAAGGCGCATAACTGGGGTGGATGTTCACGGGACTCAGCTGGTTCCTGCAAAGCATGGCCAGAAGGTCCTTCTCCCGCGGGGACGGTGGGCTGTTGCCAGACTTGTAGGACGAAGCTCCATTGCTCCGCCCGTGGGGACCTCGACTGGGAGAGAAGCATGAAGCTTGTTAGAATCCCTGGGGTCGGGGATACCCAAGTGCGAACGTTCTATTCCTTCTTAAACCTAGTCACTACCGAGGAAATCCAACCTATAGGGTTGAAAGGGGTCAACCCTGTAATGATTAGAGCAACTTGGCTTTATAAGCGCCTTCTTCCCACCTGCCTGAGATATCTTCTCTCCTGTGTTGTCAGCACAGGGCTCCCTCCCTCTGCTGTTCTTTCAAATAGTTTCTGACCATAAAGCTTGTTTTGGATTAAACCCAGCTGCCTGCTAAGAACACAAACCATGTAAAAGGTTGCTTTGGTTTAGTTTCGTTTCAGAGGCTGTTTTAAAGATGTGGCGTCTATTTCAATATACCTGTTTCTACTTTAAAATATTCGGGTTTTGTTCATGTTGGGTCAGAAAACTGGGGTGGATCATTCGGAGGATCAGGGAGAAGGAGTTTGCCCATAAGGAAGAAGGAAAAACCAGGACAGATAAATATAACGCACATAAATGTATCATCTATAATTTTAACCACCTATATGTTTTCTTTTTCTTTCTACTCCCAATGACTTGTGGTTCTTTTAGTTGCTGAGTTGTGTCCAACTCTTTTGGATACTGTGGACTGAAGCCCACCAGGCTCCTCTGTCCATAGGATTTCCCAGCAAGAATGCTAGAATGGGTTGCCATTTCCTCCTCCAGGGGATCTTCCCAACCCAGGATGGCACCCACATCTCCTGTATTGGCATTGGCAGGTGGGTTCTTTACCACTGAGCCACCTGGGAAGCCCCCAATGACTTAGCACGAAAGCCTTTATCATTGAACTGCTGAAATATTACCCCTTTTCTTTCCCTGCCTCTTGTCTTGCCCTCTCAGCAAGGAGGCTGTCCCTGTAGTGAAAGCAGCTTTTCCAGCGTGCAACTTGAGTGTCACTGGCCTCCTCAAAGCCATTCAGCTTCCAGAAAAACATCCAGACTCCTTAATACAGCTGACAAGGTCTGATCCCATCCCCACACCACCACATTCAACCCATCCTCTCTCTGCCCCTCTTCCCCCCTTCCCCTGCATTCCAGACAATTTAATTTCCTCGTGGTCCATGCTCTTCATCATCCTTTCAATTTTGAACTTATTTTCTCTATCTAGAAGTTCTTTTGCTCCCTGCTCTGAGCCTCTGGATACCTCCTACTTCAAGATGGATGGGAACCTTCTCCAAGCAGCCTTCTCTGGACTCTTCCTTCTCTAGGCTGGTGTAGTTGCCATCCCCTGGTGCTTCCCACCCCGCTGTGCAGACTTCACCATGGAACTTATCACAGTGCATCAGCATGGTGGGCTTGTCACTCCTTCCCACCAGACTAGGGCGTCCTAAGGGCAGAAATATAGCTTGTGCTCTTACATCCCCACTACCTCCCAGCACAGGTAGGTTCTCTCTAAATGACTGCTAAGTGAATAAACTGGGTTGAAGTCCTGGCACTGCCACTTACTAGGAACTTAGCAAGTAAGCCACTTACTACTGGGGAGATATGATAACTTTCACAGAGGTGATGTGGAAATAAAGAATGCATGTTGAATACACTGGATAAGCTGTTAAGGGCAATTCAACTGCAAGGTACTATTTTTGGATAATCTTGTTTGAACTTTCCTGTTAATCTAGTTCCATAGATTTGACACTCCCTAGTGTTAGGAATGGGGCTCCCCAGGTGGCACAGTGGTAAAGAATCTGCTCTGTCAATGCAGGAGATGCAAGAGATGTGGGTCTTATCCCTGGGTTGGGAAGATCCCCTGAAGAAGGAAATGGCAACAAACTCCAGTATTCATGCCTGGAGAATTCCATGGACAGAGGAGCCTAGCGGGCTACAGTCCATGGGGTTGTGAAGAGTTGGACATGACTGAGTACACATATATACAAAACAGTGTAAGGAATGGGCTTTCTTGGTGGCTCAGTGGTAAAGGATCTGCCTGCCAATGCAGGAAACATGAGTTTGATCCCTGGGTCAGGAAGATCCTGTGGAGAAGGAAATGGCAACCCACTCCAGTATTCTTGCCTGGGAAACCCCATAGACAGAGAGCCTGGCGGACTAGAGTCCATGGGGTCGCAAAGAGTCGGACACAGTGACTAAACAACAACAACGCAGTGTAAGGAAGCATCTTAAGAATGTAGAAATTACTTAAATAGGATAGTACATCTATGTCAGGAATATATCTTGATGACGGTACAAGGAAATAAAAGGGAAGACGATACTCTTCATAGAGCAGGGCTGCTTTTTGACAGTCTCTCTTTGCAATTTTGATTGCAAGTGTATCCAACAGACACATCTCACTAAGAAACACGAATGAATGTCAGTATAAGTGTGTGCACTTGGGGTCTACTTGGCTCCAAAACTGCAATTACTTAAAATCTAATACAATTTGAACTAGCACTCAACCCAGTAAATCACATATAAATGAAACATCATGAAATTCTAAAGTTAAAAAGTTCTTTCCTTTTGAAATCATCCAAATGGACTCTGCCTCCTCTTTTTTGTGAAAGGGGACACTTTATATGGAACAGATGGGCTGATGGCTTTGTGACAAACCAACTTCAGCAACTCTGGTAGGGGCGGGGCAGGAAAGAACATGTTCTCTGGCTTGGGAGGTGCTTCTCTCTGCTTTACTTCTAAGTCTGGCACCAACTGGCCTGACTATTTTTTCATGTGGCTATGAGAAATGTGGAGGGTTAACCATTACAAGTTAGGAGAAAAAGTAAAGCGGTACCCCTCATGTTGATCCAGGGAAATCTTCACCAAGAACCTTCTGCAACCCACGCTCTGTTGCAAGGGTTTATGAACACTGTTTCGCTTAACTTTGACCATCGCAGCAATAAGATTTATGACAGTAAGGCTAGTCAGATGATCACTTTCTTTTTTATATTACGTGAAGTATGGGAAGTACTCAAGTTATAGAAATAAATGAAGCTCAGCAGGGTGGAAAGGGCTTTCTAGGTGATGCTAGTGGTAAAGAACCCGCCTGCTAATGCAAGAGATGAAAGAGTCTCATTTTCTATCCCTAGGTTGGGAAGATCCCCTGGGGAGGGCATAGCAACCCACTTCAGTATTCTTGCCTGGAGAATCCCATGGACAGAGGAGCCTGGCGGGCTACACTCCAAGGGGTCACAAAGAGCTGGACCCGGCTGAAGCAACTTAGCACACAAGCAAGCAGGGGAAAAAAGAAAAAAACTGGTCCAAGAACTCACAACTCAACTGGGATTTAAATCCAGGTCTCTTAACTCTACAGATATGTCTCCAGCTTTCCACAAATGGAATATATTGTTTTAGGTTTGTAAACAGGTATACTAGCTACTGGCTAGGTATGTGGTTATTAACCTGAAGAATTCGCCACCAACTTCTTTAGTTTGGTGCTTGCACTAAGATGTATGATTAGTGACATACAAATTAAATAAGGTGGGGATTTTGTAAGAACTCGTCTGCTATACAAAAAAAAGCAAAAACTCTTCAAGCTATCAAACACTACTCAAGTACAATTGAGTCTTGAAATATATTTCAGGAAATGAGTTACTAGACTGTTTCTAAGAGCTAACATTTAAAAAAGAAACTGCATGCCTTAAATGATCAATTCTATCCCTTACATTTAGTTTAGTTCAAATGCTAACTTATGTGGGTTCAAACTCATCATGGATGAAGAAAAAACAAAACAAAACATTTCAATGGAAAAGTAGGATTCCATACTTGTCAAGGCCGTGCACAGGCAAATTTGATGCCTCCTTCCTAGCCCTCCCCAAGTCCCTTGGTTTGGTGGACAAGACGAATGCAGTCCACAGAGACAAGAGAATTCTGCTACCCCATGCCCCTTCCTGCAAACCTGAACCAGTAACTGGAGATGAGAGAAACAGGGAGGTGAAGACGGGATCCTCATAAGGTGCCCAGGGAAATCTCCCTTCCCCAGCCCTTGCCCTTTCCTTCAGGTAACATCCTCACCCTTGCCCTCACCATCTTCATCATCATTGTTACAGGTTGAACAGTGTCCCCCTCCAATTCACAGGTGGAAGCTCTGACTCCCAGCACCTAAGAATGTGACTGTATTTGGAAATAGGGCTTTAAAAAGGGTATTTCTGTTAAAACAATGTGCTAGGGTGGGCCTCAATCCAATTTGACTAGTGTGCTTATAGGAAGAGGGAATTTGGACACAGACACAGAGAAAAGACTATGTGAGGAAAGAAGGACGAGATGGGCATCTACAAGTCAAGGAGAGGGGCCGCCGCAAGAAGCCAGTCCTGCCAACACCTTGATCTTGGATTTCCAGCCTCCACAATAGTGGAAAGTGGATCTCTGCTGTTTAGAGCGCCTCAGTCTGTGTTTTTGTTATAACAGCCTGAACAAACTGATATGATAATCACCATCGCCACCACCACCACCATCGGCCACAGCAGCACCAGCATGTTGCCCATTCATTAGTATTATTTTTATCACTACTGACTAAAAATAACCATCTAATGACTCTTTTCCTGAGTTCTGGGCACTGTGTTAAGAGGCTTCCCAGGTGGCGCTGGTGGTAAAGAAACTGCCGGCCAATACAGGAGACGTAAGAGACACAGATTCAATCCCTGTGTCAAGAAGATCCCTTAGAGAAGGGCATGGCATCCCACTCCACTATTCTTTTCTGGAGAATCCCCATGGACAGAGGAGCCTGGTGGGCTAGTCCATAGGGTAGCAAAGATCTCTCAGTTCATTTAAATCAGGAAGGTAAATACCATCATCACCCCATTTTCCAGAACAGGAAACTGAAGCTGGGAGCTCTGGGTCTTTCTTGTACCTAATAAATGATAGATGCTCAAGTCAAACCCAGGTCCATCTGACTCCAAATACTGAGTTGTTTTTTTTTTTTTTTTTTCCACTTCTAGGTGCCTCTAGTCAGATTAGAGTTTTGGTTTAAGAAAGAGAATTTCTCAGAAAGACCAGTGAGTTGGCTTCTTCTAAGAGGAGGTCGTTTGTAAATCTTCCAAGTTTTGTTTGTGAAGTGTGAAAGTGTTAGTCCTTCAGTCATGCAGCGAGCCCATAGACTACAGCCTGCCAGACTCCTCTGTGGGTTGCCGTTTCCTTTGTGAAATCACCTGTCAAAAATATTCTCTTCAGGACTTCGCTGGTGGTTGAGTGGCTGAGATGCCGCGATTCTAATGCAGGGATGTGCTGCGTGCTAAGTCACTTCCGTTGCAGCTGAAGTTTTGCCACCCCATGGACTGTGGCCCACCAGGCTCCTGTGTCCATGGGATTCTCCAGACAAGAACACTGGAGTGGGTTGCTGTGCCGTCCTCCAGGGGATCTGCCCAAAGCGGGGATCAAACCCACATCTCTCATGTCTCCTACATTGGCAGGCAGGCTCTTTACCGCTTGGAACTAGATCCCTCATGCTGCAACTTAAGATCCCACACATGGCAATGAAGATCCTGTGTGCCACTACTAAGACCCAGCACAGCCCATAAATTAAAAAAAAAAAATCCTCTCCAGCTCCACCTGTCCTTCATTTCCCCTACCTCTTCACCAAATGTTCCCGCTAGCCTTCCTCCCAGGATCTGATTCTCCACAGAGAAAATTCATTTATTACAGGAGGCGTGAACCAATTAAAAGGAGTGTTGTGTGTGTGTGTGTGTGTGTGTGTGTGTGTGTGTGTGCAGGCACTAAGTTGCTTTAGTCATGCCCGACTCTTTGCGACCCAATGGATTATGGCCCACCAGGCTCTTCTGTCCATGGGATTCTCTAGGCAAGAATACTGGAGTGGGTTGCCATGCCCTCCTCCAGGGGATCCTGACCCAGTGATGGCACCTGCTTCTCTTATAACTCCTGCATTGGCAGGCGGGTTCTTGACCACTACCGCCCCCTGGGAAGTCCAAAAGGATCATAAGCTCTTTAAAAGTTTAGTGTGGATACCGGGAAAGACTGAAGGTGGGAGGAGAAATGGACGACAGAGAATGAGATGGTTGGATGGCATCACTGACTCAATGGACATGAGTTTGAATAAGCTCCAGAAGCTGGTGATGGACAGGGAGGCCTGGCATGCTGCTATCCATGGGGTCGCAAAGAGTGGGACACGACTGAGCAACTGAACTAAACTGAACTGAACCAGCCCATCCAGAGTTGTCCTCAACACGTGGTCCTTTAGAACACACAGATTACGTGAAACACCCACACCATTCCATCCCAGAAATCTACTGATGGTGCTCTGTCTGTGCCTGGGTCAGATTTTTAAAAAGTGAGCATAATGGACAGAACACTTGCCTATTTCAATTTCCTGTCTATTAAGTATATATCTGATTTGCACATAATTATATTAAGCTATTTTATGTTTAAAACATCAATTTTTCATCACTGAGGGAATTCATGGGTTCCAGACTAGAATATTTTCTCTAAGTCAGTTAGTACATCTGACATTACCTTGGAATTTAACGACAGACTCAAATCCCTTTGAGATGCTTATTAAAATTGGTTTTTATATCCTCATCCTGTGATCCCAGAGGCACTTTATTTCCAAATTACATGGTATTTGGAGATAGAACAATTGTTCTTCACTGCAGACTTCACTATTTAGTTACAAGTTTCTCTGGCTTCAGTTTTGTTTTTAACAATAAAACTCTGCACTGTGGGCCTCAGATCCCTTTATAAATATTAGCTACATCTTCTGCTCACCCAAGAGAAGTGGGAAACATTTGCTTGCTCAGTCCTGGAAATGCAAGCAATTAGAAACTAAACAGCTTTTCTCCAGAAAAGGGACTTTAAGAATCATGTGGTCCAACCTCCTTCTTACACATTTGGACACTGTGGCCCAGGGCAGTCAAGGGACCAATCACTCCCAGGGTCATGTGACTCACTCCATTGCTTTGTTCAGGTCCCTGCCCAGAGCTCACCTCATCACAGAGTCTCCCAGAACCAGCCTGTTCAGAATATACCACACTGTGGGTCTCTGTATCCTTTTTCTGCATGTTTTTAAAAAAATATTTATATTATTTACATGCATTATCTTTCTCTCCTAGAACGAATATAGTTTTCCTAAGTTTTGTTTACTGCCATATCTCTAGAAACTGCCTCATAATAGATGCTCAATAAATTCTAATTGAATAAATGAAGCTACAGATGGCAGCAGAGAATCCTGGGGCTGACAGCCTGTCCCACCAAATCTGAACGGTGGCCCCCTTTTTCCTCATGGTCCTTCTCTCCCCCAATCCAAACAGCACCGATGGCAAACATGTGCTGATGTTTACTGTGCTTCAAACAAGTAAACACACTTCACTCCATTAACTAATTTAACCCTAACTATAAACCCTACAGGGCTTCCGAGGTGGCTCAGCAGTAAAGAACCTGCTTGCCAAAGCAGGAGATGTGGGTTCCACACCTGGGATCGGGAAGATCCCCTGGAGAAGGAAATGGCAACCCACTTCAGTGTTCTTGCCTGGGAAATCTCATGGACAGAGGAGCCTGGCAGGCTCCAGTCCCTGGGGTCACAAAAGAATCAGACACGACTCAGCAACTAAACAACAACAAATAAACCCTACAATGTGGGTATGACTGTTACCCTACTTTCCAGATGAGGACACTCAGGCATAGAGAAGCTGAACAATGTGCTGGGGGGCCACAAGGCCTGGGGCTAGTGGTGCTGGCATTCCAACCAAGAGCCCACACAGGTCACTATTTTTGTTAGACTTCTTCTTTTGGGAGGTGGGGGGGCATCGCGACCTATGAACTTTATACCTTCTTCACCCCTTCCCCAAGTGAATATTGGGGGCGGCCCAGAGGGTCACCATGCTTCTTTCACAAAAAGGAAGCTCAACTAGAGGCAGGAAAGGGTGAAGTCAGAGGCTTTGCGGCCAAGAGGACAGATTCAAGAAGGGGTAGGCTGGGTGGGAAGTGGGAGACAGCCAGCCTGACCCCCAGATGAGCACACAGGTGGGGGCCGGAGGAGCAGGGCTCCCCAAGCCGGGGACAGGATGAGGGGGAGCCCTGCATGGGTGCACGCGGGGCCAACCACGTGACCACGGCAGGTAAGGCTGGGCAAAGTACCAACCGTGAATCACTGAAAACCGCCACCAACCCCAAACCCATTCACTGAAGAATCATGAAACGGAAATGGACAGCACTAAAGCCAGGTGTCTAGGAAAACAGGTTAAGGACAGGTAATCCACCCGTGCATCGCGTCTTAACGAGGACAGAGCGGGAGCTGGAGGCGGGCCTACTTGCGTGAGAAAGAGGACCGCTTGCTCCCGGCGGCAGACATGGGGACCTCAGGAGCCGAGATGCTGCCGGTGCTGCTCGAAGAGCTAAAATCGGCTTCACTACCTGAAAAAACAAAGGCGGGGGAGAAGCATGAAGGGCAGGAAGCTCGCAACCCGACAGCCCGCTGGCCGATGCCCTGCCCTCTGAGGTCCCCGGCTCCCGCGTTTGCACACGGACGCAGCACGTGGCGGGGTTCCAGCGCTCCCAGGCTCCCAGCGTTTTCCTCAAAGCCGACGAGAGGAGGCGCAGGCATGAAGACGGCGCCGTCTAAACACAGCCTGGAAGCACCGGGAGGCCGGTTTCACAGATGCCGGGCTTCCCGCGGACAAGCTGCGGTCACCCGGTCGGGACACAGCGCCCGCCGCTCCCTCCCGGTTCCCCGGGCGTGCCCGGAACCTGAACGCCCCGACCCCAACGTTTCGGCAGCATGAAAAGCATGCTTGTCAGCCCCAGAGCGGTTTTTCCAGGAGAGTTTATCTTTCGGCTTTGCAGTCGGCTAGCCATACTTGAATTTGGCACGTTAGGGTCTGGAGATAATCAACCGGCTCGAAATAGGAGGAAAGCCAGCGCTCCAGATAACAGCTCCAAGCCCCGCTATCTGATCCTCCACTTCTCTGACCGCAGCTGCAGCTTTTCTATGAAGAACACAACCTTAACAGAACAGCAGGAACTTAACATTTCCAGAGAGCTGTGAAAAAAGTTCACAGTGACCAGTGATGGAACCTGTGAATGATAATTGAAATTTGAAACCGCAGTTTTTGGGCGTGGGTGGAAGGGTTGTTTATTAGTTTACAAAGATCACAGTAAGTTTTAAGTACAGACTAGGGTTCAGTGTATAATTGAAAACATGCTGTATGGTGGAATAACTAACATAAATTCATTTTTAACAAAACAAAGTTTTGAAATAGTAATAATAAAAACATTTCATGGATCAGCTGGAAGTTCAGGGGCTTGGAAGAGGTAACAGGACAACAGGAAGAAAAAAAAGAGGATTTTTTTTTTAAAGATGAAATTCCAAATGCTTTTGGAAAAATCAATCGAGGCACACAGTTTTATTTGATCTTGTTTCTCAACTCCTATGCCACAATTTGTGACTCTTCTGGCCTAGAACTCAGAACCAGATCACATTTCTGATTGAGGAAAATATGAATAATCTAAATCCCTTGAGTTTCTGATAGGCAGTGACTAGTAATCATTTATTTTTAATTTAATTTTATTTTTTAGGCTGCATTGTGTGCAGGTAGGAGCTTAGTTCCCCAGTGAGGGGTCAAACCCATGCCCCCTGCTTTGGATGCACAGAACTTTAACCACCGAAGTCCTGATGATTGTGACTCTTTATTGAGAACCTACTAGGTTCCAGGCCCTTGTTCAAGATTCTTTCTGTTCCTTGACCTATTAATCTTGACATCTTTGTAAGGCAGATATTAATCTTGTCTTCTACTGTTGAGGAAACAAAAGCTGATTTATTTGCCTAAGGCTTGTGGGTGATGAATTCTGTCCAGGACCAAATCCCCATGTTACCCCCGTGATAACATGTCCGAAGAAGACCGTAAAAGAAGCGGGATCTGGGGAGGTTCCTGAATAAACTACCATCTCCCCGACAGCCAAGATGAGCCGCGAGGACAGGAGGCGGTCAGAGCAGCCCATGGGTGAACAGATGCTCTTACTGAAGCTGTGCTTTGGTTTTGCTGAAGAGGGAGGCAACTAACAGCAAGGCAAAGAGAAAGATCCCTTGTCTGGTTTCTAGGACCTCTTGGGAAGGTCAGCCTCTTCTGGAAAAGAGATCAGGAAGGACCCCTTAGGGCAGATGACAGCTGGGAATCCCAGCTCCCAGCAGAATTCTGGGAGGATTAAGGTAGCAATTTATCAGAACCGGGGCTGGCTATTCCTTCTGGATTTCAGAGACTTTGTCTAATGATGTAATGAACTCCCAGAAGCTCCTTGAACTTAATTAGTTGCCTCTGAGTAATGTGTTGGCTAAACTATAGTATTTCACAGTTTCAAGGACTCATGATTGGTAATGCTACCCAGGAACACAGTCGTCCTGACAGTCTACTCCAACTTTGTCTGCTAGCAAATTACCAGGTTGGTTATAAAATGATAAAGGTGGATGATTTTCAAAAATAGGTCCTGTGGTTGCAGCCATCAAGGGTAAGACATTATTTTCTGATGTAAAATTATTACTCTGAGACACCCAATTTTCATTCTTTAAAAGGTATGCAAAGACCCATCAATATAATTTAACTGCCTGCATAAGAATGGAAATTCTAGAACAGAAACTGACGTTTGCTGAAAATCCATTGTTATTTAACGATGCCTCTGACCTGAAATTTGTGTTTGTGTGTGTGTGTGCGCTAAGTTGCCTCAGTCTTGTCTGGCTCTTTGTAACCCCGACCCCATGGACTGTAGTCTACCAGGCTCCTCTGTCCATGGGATTCTCTGGGCAATAAAACTAGAGTGGGTTGTCATGCCCTCCTCCAGAGCATCTTCTTGCCCCAGGATCGAACCTGCATCTCTTATGTCTCCTGAACTGGCAGGTGGGTTCTTTACCACTGGCACCACCAGGGAAGCCCCTCTGCAGTAATTATGTACCCTGAACTGAAGGGACCACATCGTTCTAAATTTATTGCTACTGGTACTCAATATATTGACTTGTTAGTGTTTGCAAGGCCTTAGGGCACTTTGATCCATGCTGTTCTAACTTATCTTGTGCACATCAGAAAGAGACTGAGAAGGCCCACCCAGGGTACAACTGTATTCAGGACTATCTGAGTAATATAGTGAGGAATGTAAATGCTACTTACCTATTTCTGTTGATGACTTTTAAAAATATAAACTATTTACAGTTTGATTATTGTTATGTAAAATCAATGCACTTTTTTTAAAAAAAAGGATATACAGAAAAATCAATTTTACTATGGCATCTGAATATATTCTCCCCATTTACTAAACAGGATAACTAAGAGGACAGCTGGAGACCTGAAAACCTCTTATGTATCTATTAGGTGCAACAAAGATACCAAGAAGGAGAGGCACTCTTTATGTATTCCCTTTAAACAGTGTATACAACTAGGTGATTGCAGGGGGTACTGTATGTAGTTCAATGCTCTTGTGGGTTACTAGAATCATACAAAGAGAGTTCCTAACCTAAAAACAAAAGCCCTGAGTCAGGCAGCCCAGGTTCAAATCCCACCTCTACTGCTTATGAGCTGTAAGACATAGTAGGCACATTACTTCACCTCACTCTGCCTTGATTTCTTAATCTGTAAATGGAGATTGATAATCATAGCACCCACCTCATGGGGTTATTGTAAGCAATGAGTATCTACCTCCTGTCTCAGAAAAACACCTGATCTGTTGTAAGCGCCCAATAAATGTTAGCTGTTGTTATTACTCTGCAGGACTTAAAAAGACAGCTTTTATTATACTATGCATTTCTTTTGTGGAAGATTTAGAAAACGGCAATGATTCAGAGGGGAAAATATAGTCTGTAATTCCATCACCAAAAAATAACCTTTTGGTATATAACTATTCAGCATTCATACTTAATACATTATTATGTAACCTAATTGTTTTTCTTTTAATATATGAATAACTTTAAACATGGCACATTTTGTTTTATTGAATCAATGAATATGTAGGCCATGTCCATTTTTCTATCATTAATAGCAAACATTATGTACCAGAAACCATGCTGAGCATCTTTTACATGTTAAGTCACTTATTTTTCATGACAGGACAGACTCTATGTGGTAGGGACAGCTATCAGTCCATTTTAGAGATAAGGGAGAGAAGCTGAGTGACACATAGCCAGTGGCACAAAAAGAAATGGATCCAAGAGGGAAACCAAGCCGTCTAACCCCAGAGCGCCTGCTCTTAAACCCACGTGGGCTTAACGGGTACCCTTGAGCATACAGATTTACATTCTTGTTTGATTATTTCCTTAGAATCAATTCCTGAAAGTAGAACATTTAAAACAAAGTGTATACTCATTTTAAGACTTTTAATATATATTCCATAGGAATCTTTTGGATGGCATGAGCCTAAAGCAGTTTTGAGGGACAAGGAAGTATTTGCCCCCATCTGCTGGTATGTAGACACCTATTGGTAAATCTCTGATGTCACAGGGACTGCTTCAGCAAAGCACAGGGAAAAATATTTGGCCACTGAAGAGCTGTGCTTGAAAAGCCGAAGGGAATTTTAAAATGTGCATATCCAAGTCAATATCTTCATCAATACTGTCTTCGATCAGGTACTGGGGTAGGTGGAGCAGGATCCCAGGACTGAAAGGGAGGATGCACTTGATGGCCTTTGAGATAAATGCTGATGTCCAGTGATCACACACACTGGGCAGCAGACAGCACCTTCCGGCCATAAAGGAGCTGCGCTTGCCAGCTTCCAGAAGCTCTGTGGGTTTTTGTTCAGTGGTGCTGCTGGATCCTCTTGAGAGGCCTTACTTTTATTCATAACCTTAGGGTAATGAGCATTCTGTGCATGTGATGGTAAGGCTGGGACTTGGAGAAGGAAGGGAAAATGGAAACAAAAAATATGGGCAAAATTTACTGATAACTAGATGTATTTTTTTTTTTAAACACTGTCTGTGATCCAGTCTCTTAGGATGTTATTATTTTTGCCTGCTTTCAGGACACTGTGGATTCCTCATTCATCAGAATATCACACAGGCCTCTGAGAACAGAGAACTCCTAATGTCTACGAAGTGGTAATAACCTAAACCTAATAACCTAAACCACTGCTTCAAGCAACCCTAAACCTTCCTTTATCCTTTGTTACCACAAAACAATCAGATTAATTCAGATTGGCCACCTATATCTCCACCTCAAACAGAATCAGCAAATTAAAAAAAAACACCCAGACCCCCATCAATTCATCTTCCCATCCCCTGTCCCCACACACAGATACACAGATCTTCTACTTAAAGGTCTCCAGGGAAGGGAGAGGAGCCATTTTCACTAAGGCCAAGCAGCACAATTAAGGAGCCGCTGGAGCAGTGGACATGTGTAATTACAGATGAAGCTACTCCAAGTCTGTTCTGTAGCACTGAC